TGCGTTACCGCATGCTGGCGCGCTTGGCTGGGCGTTGGCGTGCACAGGCGCACTGCCAACGGCTACTCGCAGCGGGTACTGATCACACGCAGTACCTGCCGCGCATTACCTATACCACCCGCACACTGGCCGCGGTGCCGGGTGACTGCTGGGCGTGGCTGCCGCTATGTGCAGACAGTCTGCCCACTACCGGCCCCATTGTCGGCCGTTCTATCATTTCTTCCGGCAACCTCAGCATGATTAAACATAACTTAATAGGACATGATCAAATATACTAATTATCTAAAAAATTAACCATTTTTTCTCGCTGGACTAATAACAAGCCGAGGTTCGCACACCGTGTGCGTATGATCAGCCTTAGGCTAATCCCTCGACCGAACTCTAATTCCTCTCGCCCAACAAGACTTGACTGATCATAAAACATTATTTAAAAACTGTTGGGACATGGATCATACGGACCAATATGTTCATAATAAATGATAACATGACATGGCCTATAATGGCCCGTAGGCATGCGCTATCGGCATTGCCGACGTCAATAATCCAATTCATGCCTAAACCTGCAATTTGCTCCGACCAACATGGATCAACTGAGTATAAAATGATCTAAAATGACCAATTAAACATGAATTGCACGAGAGTTGCCGGATAGAAAAGGACTTTACTCGGTCATGGCCTATAATAGCCTAAACCGAGCCTATGATCGCCTATTCATGAAATTTCAAGGTACGAACTGAACAACTTCATTTCAACTTAACTTATAACATGAAAGAGAGTTGGAGATGGGATTACCTCTCCAAACGTTCGGCTGAAACGAAAGATAGGGCGGGATTCTTGGCTTCGTGTACGCGTCCGGGTGTGCTTTACTATGCGTGCTTGCTCGGCACTTGGCTTGTGCGTGGAGTGCAAAAGGGCTAAGGCAAGAGCTATACTATTTATTTGCTGATAGTGTTTAATGGAAGGTGGGAAAAATTTCCAATCTCTTATACTATATATAGAGATGGCCGTAAGATGTGGATGATGAAGGAAGGATGTGGCTCAATTTAGTCTTGACATTTGGAAGTTAATTAGGAATCTTAGGGATGACTAATCCCTCTCAAAACCTCCCCAAAGTGCCACGTGTGAAGTTAAAAAAAATTGGAAGGAAATTACTTCCTTAAGGCTTAGGAAATGACTTACCAAAATTGGGACAATACATGACCAACTTCCGTACGGCTTATTGGAGCAATTTGGAATATAAGCTTGGCTTTTAACTCCATTAATATAGGATTAATGTTAAATTAATCACCTACTTATGTTTAATTATGTAATTAAACATAATGCTTAATTACCAAAATTATTCCGAACGTAAACGGTACGTCGAAAAAAATTTCGGTAATCTCAACTGAAAATAATTAATTCCGAAAATTAATACTCGACAATATTAATATATCGGAACTAAAACATAATTTATACTAATAAAATAATAGGATATTACATCCTCCCTAGGTTCGGGCTCTAGCTGTGGTTCGGGCTCCAGTTGTGGCAGCAATTCGGGCTCCAGTTGTGATGGCGGTGAAATTCTTGATCTTGCTCTTGTCCGTACCATGATGTCGGTCTCACTTGTGGTAATTGAAAGAGGACAATGAAAATTTGGTGTTGCTCTGGTGAATTTTTTTCTCACTGTGTGGAAAAGGCGAGGAGCGGGTTGAAATTTCTTGAGAGAACAGAAAGTCTGTAATGGTAAAGATAAGAAGTAGGGCTTTGGCTATATCACCTTTTATCATCTGCTGCCTTTTCGTATTTCTCTCCTTTTTCTATTTTTTTTTTATTTTTTTATTTTTTATTCCTCTCCCATTTGACATGGCCATGTAAAATAAAAACCAACACCATTAGTCCCAATGTTCAAGCAAAAGTCTGCACAAAGAACAATGAAATGTGAATAACCCATCCTCCTCTCTTTGAAAGAAGGGGCGCTTCCGGCTCTCTCGGTGCTTGAAACAATTTTGTTCAGCAACAGCAGAAACAAATTATTTTAAGGCATGGGCACAGCTTAAAAACTACCATGTAACGTGTACGTGGTATCTACCTTAAATCACTTCAAGTCCTAAACAAACTAGAGAAATAACAAAATAAAAAAAAAAATAATAATAATACTAATAATAATCTAGAATAAAGCAATAATTGGGTTGCCTCCCAAAAGCGCCTTTTTTTATCGTCGTTGGCTCGACATGAAGCTCTTGATTTATTCAGAATAAATGGGGTCCTCGAGGCCCTCTCTTTCTTCATGCTCAGGTTGGAAATTCTCGTGATATGGCTTAAGTCGATGTCCGTTGACTATGAAAGACTTCAAGCTCGACGGACTCCGAATCTCAACAGCCACATGAGTACAGACTTTGATGACTTCAAAAGGTCCTTCCCATCTTGTTCGTAGCTTTCCTGGAAACAATCGAAGACGGGACTGGTACAAGAGAACTTTTTGCCCAACTACGAATTGCTTTCGCGAAATCATCTTATCATGGAAAGCCTTCGTCTTCTCTTTGTAGATCTTGGTGCTCTCATAAGCGTCATTTCTCATCTCTTTTAGTTCCTGAATTTGCAACTTTTTATGCTCACCACTTGCATTCATGTCCAGGTTAAACTTCTTGATTGCCCAATATGCTCGATGTTCAAGTTCGACTGGAAGGTGACATGGCTTTCCAAATACGACCCGATAAGGCGACATCCCTATAGGCGTTTTATAAGCAGTCCTATAAGCCCAGAGTGCATCATCCAAACGTAAGCTCCAATCTTTCCTACTCGGATTCACCGTCTTCTCGAGAATGGACTTAATCTCTCTGTTCGATACCTCGGCTTGTCCATTGGTTTGAGGGTGATATGCAGTTGAAACCTTGTGAGTGACCTGGTACTTCTTCAGCAGTGCCTCCACAGTCCTATTGCAAAAATGCGTTCCACGATCGCTAAACAAAGCCCTGGGGACTCCAAATCGTGTAAATATATTGGACTTAAGAAAATCTGAAACCACTTTAGAATCGTCAGTCCTAGTGGGTTTAGCTTTGACCCACTTTGACACATAATCAATGACAAGTAAGATATAAATATAGCCAAAAGAAACCGGAAATGAGCCCATAAAATCGATACCCCAAACATCAAAAATCTCACAAAATAAAATAGGATTTTGAGGCATCTCATTTTTTCGAGAAATATTACCTGTCTTCTGGCAATGATCACATGACTTACAAAATGTATACGCATCACGGAATAATGTTGGCCAGAACAACCCACTTTCGAGCACCTTCATTGATGTTCTCTTAGCACCAAAATGACCACCACATGCATAAGTATGGCAAAATGTCAAAACCGAGGATATTTCGTGGTCGGGCAGGCACCGCCTTATCACTTGATCACCACAAAACTTCCATAAGTATGGCTCGTCCCACACGTAGTACTTGGCATCACTTCTAAGCTTATCTCTTTGTGCCCTTGAAAAATTAGGAGGAAAATTACTAGTAACCAAATAATTCACGATATTTGCATACCATGGCATACCAACAGATGCTGCAAAGAGGTGCTCGTGTGGGAATTCTTCTTGTATTTGGCTCGTGTCCGTCACATGGGTTAAGCGGCTCAAATGGTCTGCCACACAATTCTCTGTTCCTTTTCGGTCTCTTACCTCTAAATCAAATTCACTCAAGAGTAGCACCCATCTAATTAAACGAGGCTTGGACTCTTTCTTCGCCATCAAGTATCGAAGAGCTGCATGGTCAGTAAAAACAATTATTTTAGAGCCAAGTAAATAAGAACGAAATTTCTCTAAAGCAAAAACAATTGCTAGGAGTTCTTTTTCCGTCGTAGAATAATTCCGCTGAGCCTCATTCAATGTCCTGGAAGCATAACATATGACATGGGATGCCCTGCCAAGTCTCTGGCTCAACACCGCCCCCACCGCATATGTGCTAGCGTCGCACATTAGCTCAAATGGTTCAGTCCAAATCAGGGGTTGAACAATAGGTGTTGTCACCAATGCCGACTTTAAAGTGTCAAATGTCTGCTTACATTCCTCATTAAACTCAAAGCTCACGTCCTTCTGCAACAATTGGCAAAGTGGGTGTGCAATCTTGGAAAAATTCTTGATGAACCTACGGTAGAAACCTGCATGACCCAAAAAAGAGCGGATCTCCCGAACACATGTGGGATAAGGTAATGAATCAATAACATCAATTTTCGACTTATCAACCTCTATCCCCTTTGCAGAAATCACATGTCCTAACACTATCCCATGTTCAACCATAAAATGACATTTTTCAGAATTTAGCACCAGATTAGTATCAATGCATCTTTCGAGAATAAGGGACAAATTATGCAGACAACTCTCAAATGTGTCACCATACACCGTAAAATCATCCATTATACCTCAATGCATTTTTCAATATAATCAGAGAAGATACTCATCATGCACCTTTGGAATGTAGCAGGCGCATTACACAAACCGAACGGCATGCGGCGATATGCATAAGTGCCGAATGGACAGGTGAAAGTGGTCTTCTTCTGATCCTCTGGTGCGATCGCAATCTGGAAATAACCTGAGTATCCATCGAGAAAGCAAAAATAAGTATGACCGGCTAAAGGTTCAAGCATTTGATCAATAAAGGGTAGAGGAAAATGATCTTTGCGGGTTACAGAATTCAATTTCCTATAATCTATACAAACCCTCCACCCATTTTGAACACGAGTGGGAACAAGCTCGTCATTTTTATTTTGCATAACGGTTATCCCAGTCTTTTTCGGCACCACTTGAGTTTGGCTAACCCAACCACTGTCTGAAATCGCATAGATAATCCCCACGTCCAAAAGCTTCAGGACCTCAGCTTTCACGACTTCCAACACCACCGGATTCAAGCGGTGTTGGGGTTGAGGAACAGGTTCGGCTCCTGTTTCCAGTAAAATGCGATGCGTGCAAATTGAGGGACTTATTCCCTTTATGTCTGAGATGGTCCAACCCAATGCTTGCTTGTGAGACTGGAGAACTGCCACGAGCTCTTCTTCTTGAGTCTTGGTAAGCTTGCTCGAAATAATCACTGGAAGTGTGTTTCCCTCTCCCAAGAACACATACTTGACATGGTCGGGCAAAGGCTTCAGTTCCTTGATAGGTGTCTGCAAAATGGAAGGTGGGGATATTTCGTTAGTATCGAAAGAACTAATACCAATAGACTCACCTCTACCATTGGTCCCTAAACCCTCATTCGTCATCACGTCATTGTCCAATTTATTGGCTTGTCCTGGAGAAATGCTAGGTAGTGAGTTGTCTGCCAAATTGCTAATGACGTCTTCCACGGTATTATCCTCCGAGAGTAAAAACATTTCCTGAGCCAATTCATCAACCAAGTCAATAGAGAATACAGATTCATCATCACCAGGATATTTCATGGGATTGTATATATTAAATTTAATTAATTGATCATCAAATCCATGGTAAGAATTCCATTATGCACATCAATCATGGTTTTAGACGTTTTTAGAAAAGGTCTTCCAAGTAAAATAGGAGTAGCAACATTGTTATTCTCCATATCAAGAACATAAAAATCTGCTGGAAAAACCAAGTCTTTAACTTGAACAAGCACGTCCTCAACCAAACCCTTCGGAAACGCATTGGACCTGTCAGCCAATTGAATGATAACTCCTGTGGGACTTAAGGGTCCGAGCTTCAAAGAACTATAAATCGCGTATGGCATTACATTAATAGAAGCTCCCAAGTCCAACATAGCTCTTTCCAAAATGAGTTCCACCAATGACACAAGGAATCGAGAATATACCTGGGTCTTTACATTTTGTGGGAAGCTTCCGTTGTAAAACAGCGGAGACATTCTCACTTACCTTAACTTTCTCATGGCGTTTGAGTTGTTGTTTGCGCTTAACTGTACACAACTCCTTCAAAAATTTTGCATAGCGGGGCACTTGCTTGATGGCATCTAGCAATGGGATGTTCACCTCGCATCTCCGAAACGTCTCGTAAATATCTCGGATAGGCCCATCTTTCTCACGTCGAACCAGTGCCTGTGGGAATGGTGGTTCAGGCTTATACTCGGAATAGGTCGGATTCTTAACCTTCTTGATGCTCTTTTCAGCTCCCAGGTCAGTTTTTGTCTTCAGTTCAGGTTTACTATGAACATGGTCAGTGACATGGCCATGTTGGTTGTCCAAACCTGCTGCTTCCAACTGCTGCTCATGAGATTTCTCATTTATCTGCTCCAACTCTTTGCCACTACGTAAGATCATGGCACTCACATTCTTAGGGTTCACCTCAGGTTGAGATGGGAGCTTTCCACTAGCTTGTGCCTCCAAACGATTCACAGAGGTTGCGAGCTGACTTACTTGAGTTTCAAGGGTCTGCATGCTAACTTTGGTTTCCTTTTGAAATTGTAGAGTACTGGAGGCTAGTTGCTTCACGATGTCTTCAAGAGAAGTGACAGAATCAGCGCTTGGGGGCTGCTCGGGTGGTGCTTGTCTGTGAAATATTTGAGGGGGACGTTGCTGGAAACTCCCACCATGGTTCGGGCCAGGCTGCTGGTAAAATGAGTTCCCGTACCTCAAGTTTGGGTGATCGCGCCAACCGGGATTATATGTACTCGAGAATGGATCATATTGTTGCTTCCTGGGAAAGTTCCCATTTGTACCGACTGCATTCGCATGTGCCTCGATTTCATTCTCTATCACGGGACAAGAGTCGGTATCATGATCGGTGGTGGCACATATTCGACAAGGCTTCACTGGCTTCATTCCTCCAATAGATAAGTGTTTCACCAAAGTTGTTAGTTCCATAAGCTTTTCCTCTACAACAGAGTTATTTGCTACCGTCCCCGCTTTAAGTGTCACATCGTTACGGGTGCCAAATTGTTGTGAGTCGCTGCCATGGTGGCAATTATACGACTCACTTCGGCCGGTGTCTTATCGACAAGGGCTCCACCACTTGCAGCATCAACCATATTCCTGTCCATCAATGCCAAACCCTTGTAGAAATATTGGATCAGTAGTTGCTCGCTAATTTGATGTTGCGGGCAGCTCGCGCAAAATTTCTTGAAACGCTCCCAATACTCGTATAAGTTCTCCCCATGTAATTGTCGCACCCCGCATATCTCCTTACGTATGTTGGCAGCTCAGGATGCTGGAAAGTACCTCTCCAGGAAAAGTCGTTCCATTACCTCCCATGTTTCAATCGAGCCCGACGGAATGTAGTAAAGCCAATCCTTGGCCGCATCCTTTAGTGAAAAAGGGAAGGCTCGCAACTTGATTTGTTCTTTTGTGATACCTGTTGGTTTCATGCACTTGCAAACCAAGTGAAGCTCCTTCAAGTGCTTGTATGGATCATCGCCTGCATGTCCATAAAATGAAGGTAAATAATGAATTAGCCCAGATTTCAATTCAAAAGTAATGTTATCACCTATAGCAGGAAAAGTAATGCAAAGGGGCTGAATATCCAAATTAGGAGCTGCCAGCTCCTTTAACGTTCTATTCGCATTTGCCATCTGGACCACGTCCAAGTCTTCTTCTTCTTCTAAATCCTCTTCTGAATCACTGTTAATCTCGAATAAGCGGGTAAGTGTCCCCTCGTCGATGTCTACAGGGGCTGCCCTCATTCTTGCTTTTTTTCTCAATCTCTTAGTTGTTTTCTCAATTTCTGGGTCAAATTGAATATCTTTGACAACATTGGAACGCGTCCCGATCAATAACTGCCAAGAAAATAAAAATTAACTAACCAAGCTGTTAGAGAAGTAAAAGATAGCAAAGGAAAGACAAGAGAAACAATAATAAATAAAAATAAAATAATAATAATAACAATAATATCACACAATCAAAGATTTAATAAAAAAAAAAATTCCCCGGCAACGGCGCCAAAATTTTCATAGCTTACCACAGCTTACCACACCATGGCCACAGCTTACCACACCATGGCGTCCCGAGAATTTGAAGATGCTTCATTCACCATTCACCTCGGGTAGGATCACTCCTAGTACTGGTACTAGGAATCTAAAGAGACGCGCACGTCACAATGGAGATGAGGATTTGAGATCGATTGTGATGGAGATGCGGGCGGATATTCGAGAGCTCCTGCTCCTGATGCGTGCAAGGCAACCGCCTCCACAATGATGAATCTCTGTGAGTATTCCTCTGTTCTCTAGACTTTCATTTGGAATTTGCTTGCAGTTGTTTTTGATGGGGCGTTGTTTATGTGATATGATAGTGTATTGTGCATAATCTATTATTTCTTTTGTGATTGTTATCGATTTATTTATGCCAATTTGTTAGAACAATCGATCTTCTTCCATCTCCACACTGTGTTTTTGCTCCCACTGTGGTCGCCAAAAATTTGGTCGTGCTGTCGTAGGCACCCAAATTAACCTTGCTTAAAAGTATGTAGTAGCGTGAGCAAGGATCATATCCACGGGGAGAAGTAAAACAAATTTATCAACTATGTGATCAAAGAGGGGGGAATTTGAATTGGTGATCTAACTAAACTAGAAATTACCTATCAAACACTAAATAAAAATAATAATAAAATAAAAATAAATGAACAAAAATAAATATAATATGAATCTGCCTTGGTTGAATTGATTTCCACCTTAAACTGTCCCACTGATCATTGATGCAAAAATCTAAATTCACAATCCACGCAACTGTCGTTGAATATAAATTCTATCTCCTAAATTAGTCACGCAAAATAAATCCTTCTACGAGACTCTTATAACTAGTTAACTCCCAACATCGTGAAGAATTATTCTAGCAATAGCATTAAATACAAGAGACCGACAATCCAAGCAATAAATAACTAATCCGTTAAATATCAACTTGTTCAATTGTTTTGCCTAAGAACGACAACGCCTAAATCCGGTCAATTATCAATCTTAGTTGCTTCTAGCGAAAGACACATGATCTAAATCCGACTCAAGTACCAATCAAGCAATAGATAATAAACATAGAATAATAGGTGGCCAATCTATCACCTAAGCATAACAATCATAAAAATATGCACACGAAACATTGATGCAAAAATATATGAATTGGAACAAAAACTAATTTGATCTCACAATAGTAGGTCTGGGGTTTCAATCGTCTTCAACAAAGACAAAGATAAATTAGCCGCGTAGGGCTATCATAATCAAAGAGAAAATAATAATAATAATGACAAGAAGAAGAGAGAGTCGCTGATGTTGTGATCTGTTCTTGCGTCTCTATTCCCCGCCGCCCTACTTGCTGCTCAATTAACCCCTCATAGAGATTATAAATGTCCTAGGTTTATTTCACGCGGGTTCAGGTTCTCTTGGGCCAAATTCGCTGGTTTGCTGGCCCAATGAATATTCTGTTCTGAATAACACCAATATGGCCATGTTGCAATTCAATGTAAAACTGGCACTGCCATATTAGTTATAGCGGCTGGGACATTAAAGCCAATGTTCCAAGTGCACAAAAGTCATCATTCTGCACATAAATTCAAAAATCGGTAGTTTGCACTCGAAAATATAATATAATGTCAAACATATGTCAATTGAACTCTCATATTTAATATAAATCCCAAATTAATCCAATAAATCGACACATATTTTTGACTTATCAAACATCCCCAAGCTTAAACCGATACTTGTCCTCAAGTATCAAGTCAAATCCACCATCTCACCTCATAGTCACCATCTATCTTCCAATGCCAACTCAAAATCTTTTTCACGCAACAAACACAAGTTAAAGTTGAGTCCCCATCAACCGATACCAATGAAAAACAAACTCAACAATCACATAACTTAAAACACATGAAATCAACACTTCTCGCGAGATTCACTCTTGCACTCAAAGTGTATAGGCTAGATGTAAAGTGTACGCTCAAGTCAAGACATAGAAGACTTTTACCATAAGCTTGCAAATATATCAGGTCCAATCACCCAAAATGAATAAGAATAAACACAAAATCAAAGGGTTAAATAAGGTTGTAGTGAGGCTTAGGGTAAGGTGGGATAAGAAAGGGAAGGGCTGACGGAATTGAACCAACCACACAAACTCATATAAACCAAGCTCAATACAAGATGATCATGCTATCTCAATAAACAACCGACATAAATAAAAATAAAAATAGAAAATGTAAACAATGCCTGTTTTTTTTTCTTTTTTTTTTGATTTTTTTTTCAGTTTTTCTGTTGTTTCATTTTTTTTTTTTTT